TAAAAATAAAAAAAGAGTTGTAACATGAAATTTAAATCTAACACTTATTAATCAATTTTTAAAAATAACTAAAAAAAACTAACGAGTTAAGCTCCAAATTTTAATAGGAAAGTCTTTACAAATTGGGTAACTAGTATTTGTTCCAGAGCACAGCACCAATTCTGATATAGACTTGATAGTTTACAAAAATTTCGATGTGGTCAGGTCAAAGTTCTGATAGTAACGGCCATGAATCAGGGTGCTACATTAAATTATGTTATCTGATTGCTAATCCAGTGATAATGAGATTTCCAAAGAAGCCCATTGTAAGTGGCCCAAACATATTCGCTAGCCTGTATCTTTTAACATTGTTGTGTGCCGAAGACCTTTTCCGCAGCCCTAGTTAGTTTCTTTGATGATGCCAAAGTCAACCTGATCTGATCCTTGAGCTCTATTCATGTGTTATTTTATTGTTCCAATTTGAAGTGGGATTCCCCTCCTCTCCTTCCCTTGTTTGGTATAGAAAGGCAAGTGAAAAGAAGGAAATTAGGGGATGGTTAAGAGCAAATTGAAGTTTGCCCTTAACCTCTTGCGATGGCAGGAATAAAAAGAAAAATGAGTAGATTTATACCTTACTTAATGCTGTGAAAATTTGATTCTTCCGTAATTAAATAAAGTATTCATTCAACTAAAGTTAATTAATTTAATTACCATTCTAGTGAAACTGTATTAATTTCTTTTCTTTTCCGTCCTTTGTAGTAGCATAAACGGGGAAAAACAAATATTCCCATTTCTTAACCTTTTCTCTTCATCACTCTTTTTCCTTCCGTTCAATTTCATCCTTTCTTATCAAATAAAATATTAATTTTTTTGTGATCTCTAAATTTTGTGTGTTGATTGGTACTTGTGAGGTCGCAGTAACTACATGTAATAAATATACTTGATTTAATATGTTGCAATAAAGAATTACACCTTACAAAGTTTATTTATTTGGGAAAATTAATAAATTTTGTGAGATCCATAGACAAAAAATGAAAAAAAAAAAAAAGTAAGCCTTAAAAATTAACATTTGAAAAAAAAAAGAATTGAAAAACTTATTTATGATCAGTGTCACCAGTTTACTTGATTTAAAAGATAGGATAAAATTCATAACAAAGTTAGTTTTTGAAAAAAGTTTCACAACAAATAACAATTTAATAAATTTAAGTAATAGTATCATTTTTTTTAAAATTACTTTGAAAATCTAGAACAGTTCTATATATTTAAACAGTTATTTTCATTTTCCCCTATTAGTGTTTAAACTGCTAATTTCATTTAACAAAACGAGTTTGTTGGACTGCCTTTTAAACATCTTTAGTTGGGCCAAGGAGGCCACACTCCCTGTTGAGCAGTTGAAGCATTTTATTCACTTAAACAATCATTAATCATTGTTATCATATGCCTTACTGCCCCTCCAAATTTTTTAATCGGACTACCATTTCGCCGGTCCCTCTGCAGCACCAAAATCCTGTCATGTTTTTACTGTATTCGTGATATATAAAAGTTTTAACTTTGAATATGGAATCCAGTTGGATATTTTCTTGCGAAACCAACCATTATCATACTCGTGTCATCGGTTGGACAAATCAGTAAGTCTTTGATTCCCTTACGATGAGAGCAGCCTCCCTGCCCTTGCCCTCGCTCTTGTTCATATCTTGACTTAATTTACTGATAGAGATGGCTTACTTTACTGAATTAACTATTCTGATCCACCATCCAAATAATTGAGGCTACTTATTACATTTTGGTTAAAATAATAATTTTTTTTTAACTTTATAATTTTATCTAGCCGAGCTTTTTTTTTTTTTTTTTACTTTTGTTATATTTAAATAAATTTTTAATTTTTAATTTACACTCAAATAAATTTTTTATCTTTAATTTGTAATAGAATAAGTATTTAAACTTTTAATTTATATATAAATAGATCATTAACATAAATCATTCTTTTATTTAAAATAAAAACTTCTTAAATATAAATCAAAATATAAGAATTTATTTAAATATAATAAAAAAATATAAGATCACATTTAAAAATGAAATAATTCAGGGATTTTTTTTAGCATTTTAAATTTACATGTTAGATCTCTTATCACTTAATTATGACGCACTACTAGAGAAATTTATGGTGAAAAAATTTGTAAATGTTGATATTTGAATTTAATTTTATTAAATTTCATATTCTAAAAAAATAAGTGAATTATTTGAGTTAAACTGTTGATTCAATTTATTTTTTTATCGATTTAAAAATTTTGAATATAATTAAAGAAAAATAAAATATAATAACTTAAACTACATCCAATAAAAGATAAGGAGTTTAATTCAATTTTTACTAAAGTTTGAAGGCATATTAAGCCTATCTCCAAAAAGCTTTTGGAGTTGGACTGCTTTACACCGTTTAGGATTTGGAAATTTTGAAAAATTTGGGAGGCTATGCCCTTAAGTGCATGTATCTAATCACAAGCTGTAATCTTGACACACCATGTCCTATTGGCTCATATGTTTTTGTTGTAATTTGCAATAGCTGGCGACTTTGTCCTTGTTAGTCTCTACGCCTGTGGCTAGCTGCACAACATATATTGCCTACCTTTGAATTTCAACCAAAATTTCTCATACAATAAATAAAAGTCAGGAGTCAGGAGCCAGGAGCTGTCTCTCTCTGAATCAAAATTCTAACCTCAGGTACATTTGCTCGTCAAAACAAGCAGCCCTGCCCCTGTTTACATTATATTAAGCAATACATAAAACCGAGGTACTGATTTGTTCATCTCTTTGAAAATGATGCTTCACCATTCTTTTGATATCAATAATTGAACCTCCACCTTTCCAGTTATTCTGTCCCATCTTTCGTAAATGAATATCCACATCTTCTTTAAACCTTTGCTACAATCTATCTTCATCATCTCCATCTTCATCTTAATTGTTCTCCCCATAGCTTATTCTGATGACAACGAGCAGATCCTGGAATGCAATGGAACATTTAATTGTGGTACCGTACACGGTATTGGATACCCTTTCTGGGGCAGTGTACAGCCGAGATACTGCGGTCATGAAGGATTCGAGCTCATTTGTGAAGAAAATCAGCTCCCTGTTATAACTATTAATTCTCAGAGATTTCGTGTATTAAACTTAAGTCAACCTGGCGCGATGAGCATTGCACCTGTAGAAATCTGGCAAGATTCTTGTCCTGAACAATTCCATAATATCTCATTAAACCACAGCCTCTTTGATTTTGCTGCAACTATTCGAAATCTCAGTATATTCTATGGCTGCCCTCTTGAAGATGAAATACCTTCCCAAAATAGATTTAGTTGCATCACATCCAATGGCAACAGCCTTGCCTATTACCTGGATGAATCATTGTTGAGAATTCACCGCTCAGCGCTCACAGATTGTAACATCAGTATTACAGTCCCGGTTAATCAAACCGAATTTGATGAACTCTTGTCCGGAAATGACAATGTAGCGGATGCTTGGAATAAAGGGTTTGATGTAATGTATCACAAGGACATCATTCCATGTATGGCATGCAGGAAATCTGGAGGAGTATGTGGATCTGACAAGACATCGCTTGAGTTCTTATGCTTCTGCCGCGACCATCCTTACTCTCAAATCTGTTTGGCTTCTGGTATGAATGCTTGTTCTTCTAACATTTTCTCAAGGTTTTTCTCTTAGGAAATTTTCTCTATTATATCTAGTCAAACAAGCATAGGTAAGTTAATTAATTTAGAGAATAATAGACAAGTCATTCAAGATAATGACTGTTAGATATAATTATTTTATCTCTTATACTCTGCCAATTTGGTAGTTTGGAGATAGAAGTAGGACAATCAAATCAAGCATGTTGCACTGCACATGGTCATGTGTGCATTGCTTGTGAAGGATACATCTCTCTCGGACCTAAGAGAGTATAATTTATTAGAATTTCTGCTTGACTGCTCCAGTATAGTGTAGATATTGGATTCTCATGCCAACCTATTAGATTTGCATAAAACAGAGCGTGATGGTAATAGGAAGCCTCCATTATACCAATTTCTCAATAGATGAAATTTCGATGTAGCTTCTAATTTCTCATCCTAGAATAGTAGCCATAGCGATTGGTGGTTTTATACGAATTCAATGTACCTCTGTTTATTTTGGTCCATTGCATATGCATCGGCCATCGTGTAGGTCAAAGTCAACAATTATCCCTATCTCTTGCTTTCTCTTTCATAGAAAATTCTGACAAGCTGATTTTTCCCTTTTTTGTCAAAGAGAATAGTCTACTCATTTACATTTTAATATTAGAGAGACGACATAATCTTCCAATCAGGTTAACATATAACTCGTATACCAGTTCTTCTCCCTTCAGAACTCCAAAAATGCATTCTCAAATGATCATTTCAGCCCCTTCCATCTCCATCTTCACCTTCTTCTTTATCAGCTTGATCCTCCTCCCAGTATCATACTGCCAAGATGATAAAAGTTTTGAGGAGTGTTTTAGTCCATTTAACTGTGGAGACATAAGGAACCTCACGTTTCCATTTTGGATTGATGGTCGTCCTGAGCACTGTCGCCAAGAAGGGTTCAGGTTGACCAATTGTGGATATCAGCAGCCTGTCATAGATATTGGTGGGAATGAATTCCGACTCATTTACTTAAATCAGGCTACTTATACAATGACAATTGCTAGAAACGATTTGTGGGAAGACATTTGTCTTGAAAATCCGATCAATATAACTCTGGACTACCCTTTCTTGTGCTATCCTCAAACAAATCGAAACCTTACATTCTTTTACAATTGCAACCCACCACAATTTAATTGCACCCTAGGGTTACGATCTTTCTATGCGGATGATTTAACTGAGAGGGATAAATATGAAGGCTTTAATAGCTCTTGTGGTACTGCCATCCAAGTTCAGGTTAATCAGAGCGCTTTCTCTCAACTCTGGAATGAAAGGCCGCAATTGCTTGAAGATTGGAGACTGGGATTTGATGTGGTGTATAATTTTTCTAGACTATTCTGTTCAAAATGCGACAGCCTCAATGGAAGATGCGGAAACTGGAGTTCACCTTTATATCCTATCTGCAGTAAACCTGGTACGCACAATCTTCTAAACCCCACTCTTCATCAATTCACATCAATTTGATTGCAAAAATTTGGTAAGTTCACAACCTTGTGAGCCTTAATCACGCAGTCCAATGATATAGGATATCATAGAATGCTAATTATTTGTTGTGGTACTTGCTCTTACTCTTGGGATGGGATAGCCTCCAAGAAGCAGTGGATATTGTTGTCGCGTTTAATTTTCTGTCTACTTTGAACATGTCAACCAGAGCTGGAGCTGGAAAAATGCTAATGACATATTCAAGCCAGCCTTAGGGTCAAAACACGCATTTTCTTTTTCTTGTGCAGCAAATTTTAAACGTAGAACAAAACTTTCATCAAGATTAATGTACCTAATCACGTAGTCCAAATAGTTCATAAAATTAATTATGTTAAACTCTACATACTCATGGCTAGGTCCGAAAGTGAAATTAACTTAGAAGAACTTGATTTTAGCATATACTAAAGATGAATGTTATATTATAAGTGACACCAGATGACGTGCCTTTAAATTTGGCTGAATTGTTATTTGTTCAATGCTGTTTATATGAACAAAAAAGAAATTGGTTGAATTGAGAAAGAGTATCATGGTTTAGGTCAGATTCGGAAGAATGGCCTTTAGAATGTAGGCCTTATAGAAGGGAGAGAAATAATGAGGTCGATCGACGGAGATGCTGTAGCGTAAACCCTTGGACAGTGAAGTCAGCTTCTTGAAGAAGATTTATTGAATAATGGATTAGAGACATGTTAAACGGAAGAAGAGGGATAAATGAGTATTAGAGATTATGAACGTGAGATAAGAGTGACTCGTAGAATGTACCAGGGATGACAACTTCTGTCCTTGTTTCCTTATTTGGCCTCTTGGTCTTGTCTTTTGGGCCATAGGTCTTCTAGCAGAAGCAACAATAAAAAAGATTGAAAATTTGAATAAAAATTCTATAATAAAGAAATAAGTTAGCATGCAATAAGAATTAGTGGTGATTACTTTAATTGATTCAGCATCATGATAGATCATTAAACCAATGAATAGTCGTGGTGGAGATCAAGTAATTCTCTCTAATTTATTTTTATTCTTTTTCACTTCCTTGGGTCCTTATAATATCTTTCCTTTTCTTTTCATTTTTTAGTTTTAGAGTTTTGAGGCTATCATTAAGAAAATGTGCCCTCTTATCCCAGTGTTATATTTTTCTTGTCAATGGTCAGAGTTTCTTGTCTTATTGATGGTTGTTAATAGGATGCATAGACATAGAGAGAAAGAGTGATTAATTAATGATAGAAAGCAGAGGCACAAATAAAAATATGAGAAAGAAAGGATCAAATAATAATTTTATTAAAAAAAAAGGATCAAATATTATTTTTGATGAAAGGAAATATTGTGCTATAATAGTGTAAAAGAATTTCGGGGTGGGGGTCAATGCCCCTGCCAGTCCCCCTTAGCTATGCCTCCGATAGAAAGAGACTAAAGGTGGAGGAAAATTAAAGCTTCTTAATATTAATTAGTATACATTAATTTCCCTTTGTAAATAAGAATAGTTCAAACACGTTGGAATATGGCAGTGTTTGAACCATAACAATTTAACACTCAAAGCATTTTGAACACTTGGATTCTGGCCCAGAACAAAGAAAAAAAATCTGTTGAACAAGTCAGACTTCTTTTTAGAATCTTGAAACTTAATTATAGGCTCCTCTTTTCAAAACCAAGTGACGTGTTCTTTTAGGTTAGGTTCTTCACAAATTCAATGGCCAAACATTTTGACAGTAATGTCCCTTAAGTCATTCAAGTTGTGGGAAAACAAAAAAAAAGGGGAAAATTCTAGCTTACATAGAAATGGTCCAAAAATTGAAACCCCGATTACTGTTAGGCTCGTATAAGCCACTCTGTTGAATTACGTCTGTTACCCGTCACAACCCTTTGAACCCACATCCAAAAGTCTTTCAGCAAACCAAGGTTAGCAGCCACATATCTTTCTTTGTAGAAAATTCTAAGTGTCATAACTTCCCAATTAACTCCAACCCAGTGGTTTGTATCCTTGAAAATGATAGCACTCGAAATCAGTTAATCTCCTTAGCTTAATTATATATATAAACCCTTCACTTATAAGTGTTCACTTGACAAACCTCCGCTGCACATGGATTCCTTTTTCTTCCTTTCAACCTCTCTGTTCTCAATCATCTTCATCTTCCTTATCTTAATTCTTTTTCAAGTATCTTATGCCCAAGATGATCTTCGTTTTACTTCATGCGGTCCATTTGATTGTGGAAATCTCCGAAATGTTTCATATCCTTTCTGGACTGATTATCTTGATCGGCCTGCATATTGCGGCTTCAATTATGAAGGGTACAAGCTCAAGTGCATACACAATCAGGCCCCTCTTATAAATATCAATATCCAAGAATTCAAAGTGGTGCATCTCCATCAGTCTCGTGGCTTGATGACAATCCAACGAGTGGAATTAAATAGTACTTGTCCTGATGAGTTTTTGATAAATAATGTTTTTAATTATTCTGAAACCGCTCAAACCATTACTCTTTTTTACGACTGCCAAAGCGGGGGAAAGTCAGATGATGGTTTCACTTGCAAAAAGGAGGGAAGTGAAAAGTTTGCTATGTTCTTTAAGAACGAAGAAAATGGACGTGGTAGAGAAAAAGTTGAAGTTCCTGTTGAGAAAAAGGCTTTCGATGAACTGATGGTTGGAATTGCCTCTCTGAATGAAGCTTTAGTTCAGCAGTTTGATATGAAATACTTTGCATACGATGGATATTGCAAGCAATGCAAGGAATCTGGCGGAAGATGTGGATCCAACGAAGATTCACCGGTAGCATTTGCCTGCTACTGTCGTGATGGTCCTCATCAAATTAAATGCGAACGTGGTCCTGGTATGCCTGCTTCTTATTTCCAGTCCCGTTTAACTCTTTCTGAATCATGTTCCTAAACGGCCAGCCTAGTAAGTAGTAGAAAGATGCCATTGAATCCTTGCTCTTCCTAATCAGAAACACGGAGTCGTTTCCTTTCCATGGAGGAAAAGAAACCAATTGATGTTCAGTTGTCTTTTTTCTGCTTTTTCCACCGCTTTTTATGGCCGATAAGAAGCCTAGCTTTCGGTCTTAATGATCCAATCTTTTCGACCTTTAGTTCTTTGGTGGGCCTCCTGGTTTCATTAGTAGGTTCGCGGGTCTATCTTTTGAATTCGTCAATGGTCCCAGGGAGCAAGCATCCTTGAATGGACTGTTCCGGCCAATTTTTTTGCGTCACAGCACACCTTCTACCCATCTTGTGTACCCCGCGCTTAATTTCTCCAATTTTGTTTTGGCCTAACTCGAATACGCGATTCCTCCATATCCTTTATATTCCCCTAATCCTCTCTTTTTTACTTTGGTAGGCAAATCTGAAATATATATTGTTTCTTCTGCCTATGCTTTGAGACCATCATTTCCCCTTTCAAATGCAAATCCAAAGGTGTGGCGCAAAAGTGATCTTTCTTTTATCTCCTTTTTCAACGACCAAAGTGTTTGGTTATATATTAATGTTAATTATAAAAAGCGCCCCACCTATTAAATTGTCCTATAACTACGTTTTCCCCATCGTGTCCCACACAATATTGGGTAGGTGTAGAAGTTTTTTTATCCACGTTAATCAGATTTTCCTTTCAGCCAGCTATAAAGGGCAGTTTAGTCCATTCAAATCTACTTCAATTCGTGTCATTATGACATCACCATTACGAGCGATGCTGGTGTCTTTCTAATCCATGATTTGGTCTAGAATTCCAGGATTGTCATTTTCTTTATCTATGCACGGAGTTTCTTTGCGAAAAAAATGTTTAATTTCATATATACGGTGGCAATAGGAGGGATTATATCCGGATCATTTTGAGTTTAAATTTTTTTGAGTTCTTATTTTAAGTTTGAATGTTTTTGAATTTAAATAAGGTATGAGTTCAAGCTATTTAAATATTTTTGAAATTTTACAAACTTGTATTCATTTTAATATACATTTTGAAGTTGGATTAAAATTGGAATTTTTTTAAGATCATTTCGAGCTTGAGTTTTTTCAAATTCAAGTCATTTAAATTTGGGTTTTCTTGGATTGAAGACATCGACTTTTTTTTGTCCAATTAAGGTTTTGTGGTTCGGATTTGGATTTTATTGAAGAATTTTCAAGGTCAAATTTATCTTGCTACCTCTATCAAGATAGGAACTGTGACAGCAATTGACCCCCTTAAATAATTCCGTGTCCTTGTATTCTTAGTTTAGCTGTTACGGCTGCTTATTAGAACAAAAGAACTATGGGCTCAAGCACTAGCAAATATATGGTCTTGGCTAATTTTATTTCTAGATTACAATTATTTATGATTATTCAAAGAAACTTGAAATCAGAATTTCATCTTAACTTCATCGGGAGTAGCTGCTAAGAGAAGAGAGAATGTTACAACATTTTTTGGTACATAGGGTTACTGTCTCGTCTGAAAGACAAATGCCATCACAATTGACGGGTAGATGCAATTTTCTTGAGTTAAATAACTACTAAAATTTTTTAGTCAAGGTCTCAAGGATGTCCTAATTTGATAGTGGTTTAAACCTAATTGGCTCCCATTGAAGCATTTCGAATTCTAGAGGGTAGGCGCCACCCAATCTTTGACAAAATGCATAGTTTATTGGCCCATAGAGTTTCCAAAATGGATGCATGAGATCAAGCTAACTGCAGCATGGATTTGAATGTGGAATGGTCAATCTAGGTAGGAAGCTGTAGAAGAAACCATAAATCTTTGCTTTTGTTTTTGCTTTTGCTTGAAATATTGTTTTGCCTTTATCCTCGTTTTCAAACTCCAATCACTATCAATAAACAAATTAAAGCTACTTGAACTCTACAAGGCAATAATACCAACTCTATTACAATTTCCACCAACTGCTTCTTCCCATTTGAAAACCTTTCTTCTCCTCTATTCCATGCCATCCCTTATTGCTTACTCCTCAAATGGATCCACAAAACCTGCTAAATTTTAGATCTTTACTCTTCATTATTGTCATCCTTTCGACAATCCTAGCAACTGAAACCCAGTGTGCAGATTACCACTTTGAGGATTGTATGCCTAGAAGCTGTGGTAAGGGTCCGAATATAAGCTACCCTTTCTGGATTGTTGAAGAACAAGAATCCTTTTGCGGTTATCCAAACTTTGATATCACCCGCAAAGAGGGAAACCCTATACTCAAAATTTCTGAGGATAGTTACATCATCAAAGACATATTTTACAACAACAACTCATTGCTCGTGGTCAATGCTGTTGTTTATTTCCTCGACAGAACGTTAGCCTTGATCGAACTCCCTTTAGTCTTAGTCTTGATAATGTCAATCTTTCCTTTTTATATAATTGTGAGCAGCAACCACAGTACCATACATATCCAATAAGTTGTGCAAGCAATGCCTCCTTCCATGACTTTGCTGTTTTTCACAAGAAGCTTTGGAGAAACTAACTATTCGGTGGAGTCATGCCAGCCTTTTCGTTGATGAGCCGGTGTACATAAACGATGATGTTAATTTCGTTAGTTTGCTAGAAATGAATTTTACTGAAGTTTTGAGGATGGGTTTCGTTTTGAATTGGACTGCACATAGTTGCACCGATTATAAGAGAAGTGGAGGGCGCTGTGGTTTCGATAATATTAATGAATTCGTTTGTTTTTGTTCGGATGGATCTCATCCCAAGACTGCAATAATGGTAATTCCATATACGATAGGATATTCATTCCAAGACTATCAATGCTTTCTTCGATTATTTTTTCATGTTTTGGTCGATTTTTTTTCTTCGTTTTAGCTTTTTCTTATCACTTTATAGGACTCCATATGTTTGGGGACAAAATAATAATATTCTTTCTGTGGACTGGTACATGTTTTACTTCTATTTCTTGTTCCATAGCTGAAGTTCCGAATATAAAACTTGATGAAAACGGCAGATAATTGACCCTTTTGTTCAGAATGTTAAGACTTTTGATGGATTATTCTGGTATAATTTGTCATGCTTGATTCACTGCATGTCTCGATGTAGCTGTCCATTTTGGTGTTATAGATCTCATTCCTTGAAGATGCAATGGGAATGGGATTATACCTGCAGAGTTATCAAAGAAGCATGCGGCAGAAAATTAGTTCAAATTTTACATGATAGATGTTGCCTGTCTGGATTATGCGAATCTTAACTCTTTATTTATCCTTTCTAACCATTTCATTTGTCTCAATTTTTTTTAATCTGTTTCAGGCAGGAAGTTTAACTTGAAAACAAAGCTGGCCATCGGTAATATAATCCCTTGATCCTCCTCTGTTCCATTCTTCTCTTCACGCAGTGTATTGCTGCATTTTCATTTCACTAAAATGATATCAAAATTCAACATAAAAAATACGCAGGTTTTGGTGCGGCTGCTGGAGGCATAATGATCTCGAGCATCGTTTTCTATTTCTGGCAGCGCCATCACCGGGGAAAGGTATTTTTTAAGTCATCCTATGTATCGGGCAAAAGCTCTGCCGACCGCTCTTCCATTATGGATCCTGAGAACGGTGATAGCTTTGTTGGCATCCATCTCTTCACCTACAATGAACTTGAAGAAGCTACCAACAACTTTGATTCTGATATGGAACTCGGCGATGGAGGCTTTGGAACTGTATATTATGGTAAGAGAAAAAAAAAATTATATTCAACATTGCTAGTTCGAGTCATCCTTTTGCTGAAAGTTCTATTGCTCTTATCCATCTTTCTTAATCAGGTGAACTTCGAGATGGGCGTGCTGTTGCAGTTAAACGCTTATATGAAAACAATTACAGGAGAGTTGAGCAATTTATGAATGAAGTTGAGATGCTAACTCGCTTGCGCCACCAAAATCTTGTCATACTTTACGGATGCACCTCTCGCCACAGTAGGGAACTCTTGCTTGTATATGAATACGTTCCCAATGGCACTGTTGCTGACCACCTTCATGGTGAACGTGCTAAACCCGGTGCACTCTCTTGGTCCATTCGCTTAGAGATAGCCATAGAGACTGCAAATGCATTGAGATATCTCCATGCTTCTGATACTATCCACCGTGATGTGAAAACCAACAATATTCTTCTCGACAACAATTTCCGTGTTAAGGTTGCAGATTTTGGATTGTCTCGTCTCTTTCCAACAGATGTTACCCATGTTTCCACTGCTCCACAAGGGACTCCTGGTTATGTCGATCCAGAATATCACCAGTGCTACCAGCTTACCGACAAGAGCGATGTCTTTAGCTTCGGGGTTGTATTGATTGAGCTAATATCATCAAAACCAGCTGTTGACATAACGAGGCACCGGCATGAGATCAACTTGTCAAATATGGCTATCAATAAGATTCAAAACCGAGCATTACATGAGCTAGTGGATCCATCTCTTGGGTTTGAATCAGACAACAAGGTTAGGAAAATGATTACTGGAGTGGCTGAGCTGGCATTCCAGTGCCTGCAATATGAGAAAGACATGAGGCCAGCTATGGCACAAGTGTTGGAGGCTCTAATAGGTATACAAAATGAGGATTACAATAAAGTAAAGGCAGAAGAGATGGATATTTCAGCAGACGAGGTTGGGTTGTTGAAGAGTGGACCATTGCCTCATTCCCCCGATTCTGTGATGATAAAGTGGGTTAGCAGCAGCTCTACAGCTAGTATGAATAACTGATTTCACTAAATTTCTTGGCAAATAGTAAAGGGATTGTTTAACTTGTACCGTCAATCCATCCTATATATTAAGAAGTTGGTGACTGTAATTTTCTTTCCATCTGTGCCTGGACCTTGAATGGTGAATGGGATGTAAATATTATCTAAGATAAGTGGTGTATGAAAAGGTCAGCTTTGGCACTTGAAATTTTCAGATGATTCTTGCTTTTCGATTAATCAGTTGCATAAATAAGTGTTAATTGTTTAATTCGTTATTTCATTTGTAATTTGGCAGGGTGTAGTGTAACAAAGGAATCTACTCTTTAGTTTGTGAGTGCTTTCTTGCAGTTCAGTATTGCATTATATATATATATATATATATATATATATAGGAATCTCTGAGCTAGACAGGTTCTTTCTATGTTTATCCCTTTCACATGTATATATAATGTATATGAATTTATGTTGTATGAATGTATACGTATGTATTGTATATATGCCTGGTGTGACTAGAAACAAGTAAAATAGGGCAGAATTGGTAGTTCAGTGAATTTTGAAAAAATAATTATCAGTAATATTTCCAGCTCTGAAAATCTGTTTCTATAGAACAGTGTTTAAGTAGCTGAAACCATATAATGGAGGTCTTGGTGCAATCTGATTCACCCTTTTTTTTTTTTTATAACTTCCTAATCTACCTTTAAAACCCCTACCTTATTATAGGGTATCATGCACACAAGTTCCTTCGAACCTGCAACCTTCAATGACATGTCAATTAATCCTAATGTTAGTCCGCATTTGGCTCACTTAATCAATAAGCATTATGGTACATTTTCTTCATGTTCTTATATCAGGAAACACCCTTTCTAGTTCTGAAGGTCTACTAGCATAAGAAACCAATAGAGTTGTAATAGAGTCTCGGCAACTCTGTGCAAAAGAAATTTCCATCTGTTCCAGGTGCCAGAAGCATTACTTTAGTTCACATCGGAATTGTCAAAAATGCTAAAATGGAACTTGTATGAGTTATTTTATGCTTCTTTTCACAAGTTTAACTAAAACCATAACCAAGGTTAAGGACATGTAAATTGTAATAAGCCTTCAAGCTTTGAAAGCAGAAACCAAACAAATTGCAGCAGGGGATCAAGCGATAGTTGATGTAATGTGAGCCCATTGATCTTGGATGTTTTCAGTTTGACACTGCTGTTTTCATTCTTAACCATGATTTTGTTAGAAAGTACATAATCCTATTCTGGTTAACGTATCTTCATCAAAGGGGGAAAAAGGAAGATCCTTGTTATTGTTAATGTGTTTGGTCGTATATGGTTTCGAAATTTACCAGTAACATAGTTATTTATTTTGTCTTTCGTAATAAAGGATGTAAATTTGAAAAAAAAAAAAAGAGTATAAAAATAAGAAAACCAGTTTGCAGCTCCTCTGCTTCCTTCTCTCTTCTCCAGACAATTTCAGCAATGATTTGTCACATCAATTTATATACTGTTTTGTGTTCCTGTATTTCTTCTTTTTTTTTTTTTGGAAACTGAAAATGGAAAACATAACAAAAAACCTTAATGAAATTTCACAAGGGCCACAAAGGTCAGCTATATTAACAACCCTTCATCTTATTTCAAACAGTCAGACAAAGTATACATGAATAACAAACAGTTCAGCAAGGCAAAGTGACAAAATGGCATGTTTCTTCATGCTCAGGAGTCAGGCCTCAGATATTGTCTGTTTGACATAAAATAGAGAATGACTGATTAACAACCAAGAGTTCTCAATGCAAGCAAATTCCCAACCAAATTCAAGTAGAATGATTAAGTTTCTATTCTTTCATGTTCATTTGGTAGTTCATATATAGAACTACTTAAAGCAATTATTTCTCTTCCCCACCATAAAAAAAAAAAAAAAAAAAAAAAAAAAAAACACACACACACACACAAAACAAAAAAGGAGAAACAAAAGAATCATGCTATTGGAGCGGTATAAAGGTCTATAGGAGTTCTTGAAGGGGTATATAAGAAAGGTTTAGGTGGGATTTTCAGGGCATCCACGCTCGCTTCCAGCATAAACAACACCTCATTCATTGATGGCCTCTGTACTGGGTAGGTCTGTATGCACCACAACCCTATTATTATCATCTTCTTTGCAATTTCATTATCTTGGCTTGTCATTAAACCATGCAATCCTAGGCTGTTTTCCTGCTGGAGACGGTCGTAGACCCAGTGTGGATAATATATCTCACTACTGTGGTCTGCATCAATATCAACATTCCTTCTTCCTCCTACCATCTCTAGTACCATCATTCCAAAACCATACACATCAGACTTGTGTGAAACTCTCCCGAAGTTCCTGCTAAACACTTCTGGGGCTATATATCCAACTGTTCCTCTAGCATCCAACATTGATATACTCTCTTTTTGACATAGTTTTGCAAGCCCAAAATCAGAGATTTTGGGGCAAAAATCTTCATCCAAAAGGATATTATGAGGTTTTATGTCAAAATGCAAGATCCTTGTACTGCAGCCTCGATGGAGGTACTCAAGCCCTCGAGCAATTCCTACTGCAATTTCATGCAATTTCTCCCATGGAAGGTGCCCTGCAGTTGAAATATTCTCATCGTGTATGAACTTTTCAAGAGAACCATTCGGCATAAATTCAAAGAGCAGAGCTTTCTTCTTTCTGGTATAGCAATATCCCAGAAGGGAGACAATATTAACATGGGATGTTCTGCTAATACTGATGACCTCATTTATGAACTCGTTTCCATTTCCTTTACTTATGTCAACTTTAAGAACCTTCACGGCCACAAGACGACCATCTTCCAGCTTTCCTTTATACACACTGCAAAAGCCTCCTTCACCTAGTTTCTCCCTGAATGAATTGGTTATTTTCTTGATATCAGAACATTGATATCTCTTTGGAGCTAGTGATCCATAGTTCTTTAAATAAGTCTCTAAATTCGGATCTTTCTTCATTTTCCTGTTAATCATTCGGGACACCAGTATTGTAGTTTTATAGCCAAAAATGATGACACATGCAAATATCACTCCAGTTGCAAAGCCAATTCCTGTGTCCAAAGAAGTGATATAACTGTAAGTGTTTGATGCAAAAAAGAGAGCTAGAGTATAAAACTGCAAGAAATATTATGTCAAAAAAGAAGTCAGAATAATGGGAATCATACCGATAACAGTAGACACTTGCCATTTTAAGTAGTGGCGGTCTGAATAACAAATAGCATAATTAGAACCTTGGTGGATAAAATTTTAAAAAAAAAAAATAACGTTATTAATTGAATGAGAATAGTTCAAGACGTACTATGGATTGAACATGGTGGTTTTTGGGACACGCCATGACAAATGCAGAGAACCTGTGTCGAATTTATGTCTGATACGCATCTCCCAGCCGATGTCCTACAGAGTTTGCAAAACTCATGGTCATCATAGTAATAATCAGCAAGAAAGCCTTCGTTCAAAGCTTCTTTCAGAGTCAAGGTTCCATTAACGAGTTGGTTATAAGCAGTGATGAGAACTGGAATTGAGATTTGAAAATAACATGGATTTGCAGAATCGGTGGATAATTCCCCTACAAAATAATTGTAATGTATACCATCCTTTGCAGTGCATGAAGAATTATATGCGAGTCCTGAAGCAAAGATTTCTTCCGGACAGCCATAGAATATTCTGAGGTTCCGAATTCCTGTAGCATAATAATTAAAACGAGCATGATTCAAGCTGGTGTTAAGGAATGGACAGGCGTCATCCCAGATGTCTGATCGTGCAAGCTTCATCCTATGACCGTTTTGTTCAATTTCCAGGACAACAAAGCTTTGGTTACTGATGTCTATAACCGGGTATTGATTTGGCTGGCATTGAAGCTCGAAGCCTTGTCGGCCGCAGTGAGATTGCTCATTTCTCCAAAATGGATAACTGATTTCTTTCAATTTTCCACATGCAAAGGAAGATTGGCAATCACTGTACGGTGGGTGATCCTTGCAATGAGTTCCTGGAAAAACTGTCAAGAAGAAGATGGAACTGATGATGAAAGTGAAAAGTTGGAGAGATGGTGGGAAGTTTTCAGGTCTCATTCTCTTTAATTCAGATAGAAAAACATTATCAACAAATTTTTCATTCAAAGAAGTTTAAAAAAGAAAAATCATAGGAAAGGGGCAATGATTAAAAGCTGGAAGATCTCTAATGAAAATTAACAGCTTAAATAAAGTAGTAATGTTTTTGTTGAGGGTCGAGACAAAATTAAATAAAATATTTGTTTTCATTGTTATCGGGAACACCGTATACAACATATGGAGAATGCTTGTCTTTGGAATTTATTGTGCTCTTGGAAAAATTCCCATGATACTATGAGAATCCTCGACCACTTGCGTATACAATACCCTTTCTGTTCAAGTTTAAAACCCAAAAATAAAAAATAAAGTAATTATTTTTTATCCCTGAAATTCAGCTGAACCATTGTTGAAACTTGAAAGTCAATTTCCAAGTAATTTCATATACATATATATATATATATATATGATGTCCATACCAACTATTATGGCCGCTCATCACAATAGTTTTAAATTGTTTCTCATTTTGTTTTTACACATTTACCTAGATGACGATGAATCCTAATTAAGAAATCCAAGAAACTAACAATGACATACCAATCATTCGAGTTGTTGCACCCGTTCTCTCATAGTATGTTTGGTTGAAAAGGTTTTAAATTTTGAGAATTTTAAAATGAAGTTTTTTTTAATGCATCTACAGATTGCTTCAAAATAATAAAATTTCCATGTTAAATTGGATGTCTATTTCTTAAACGTCATAATTTTAGGAAAAATATATATTATATATTTTTATAAAGGAAGTTGCAACTTAAGAGTAAAAGAAAAAATTATAAGTGTGAGATTTAAATTTTAGATTTATTAAATGATTGTATGAATCAACTAAATTAAACTTACAAAAATCAATTTTGATGCATACTTTCTCTAGCTTAATAAATTGGATATAATTATTGATAATTATTTCACAATTTTAGGCTTAACTTTTTTTGTTTTGATAAAAGCTTTTTTTAAATTTATTTTAATCACCTCAGATCTAATCATATAGTCATCGATCACCTTTTTTATATTTGCGAAATTTCAATTAACCCTTTAATCTCAAACTTCAACTAAAAAATAATACCTTGATGATTGATATTGTTTTATTTTATGAAATTTCAGCATTGCCTTTTAACCTCAAAGCTCAATTGATCAATAAATAATGTCATTTAGCATTCGTGATATCATTTATTTATTTTTTATAATTTTTATAAATATTACTAATTATAAATCATGAATAATGCGATCTTAGAATGTCCCAACAATTTGATTTGATGAGTTGGTCATATCAGTTTTGAAAAATTTTACTGAACAACTATTCTTAATTTTGAAAGTGTAACTATAGCTATGTGAATTTGATTGATTTAATACCTTTCTTAGTGCAAGTAATTATTTAGGGAGTCTAACTGAAAGTTACAATAATTAATTTTTTTTATGTTAAACATAACTGCTAGCTAATTTTAAAATTTTATTATCTTAATCAAATAAGGACTCCAATAGATGATTCTCAAAAAAGAAATTAAATTACAAATTGAGATTATTGTGATTTATTTTACAGTCTGAAAGTTAAGTAACTTTTGTTTGTTTAAATGATCTAAAATAAAAACTATAACGATCAATATGTTTATAAGGTTGAGTTATCGTTGTTGAAAATAATAGAAACATTTTTTTATGATGAAAATAATAACATTTGTTAGCCACCTTTTTTTAGTTTTATTATTCCCAATTGAGGATCCTAATAATTGATTCCAAAAAATGAGTATTATAAATTTATAATTATCATATTTACCTACTCAAATAAGCATTATTAATAAACTCATGTTATGTACAAATTTAAATTATAATTGATTATTTATATATTATTGATCGATTCATTCTTTTTATTAATCTATTTATTTTGCTTTTCAAATTTAATTATATTTTTATATTTATTAAAAGTGGAATTTAACACATAATCAATTTAATTATCCAAAAATTTGTAATACATAAAGCAAAAATTATTATTATTATTATTGTTGTTGTTGTTGTTTTCCTTCATATGACATACATTTATTATTTTTTTTTTAAAGCTTTTATGCTAATTAATATAAAATCTATAATTTAATTATGTTAATTCATACAGTCATCTTTAAAGAGATGACATCAACATGCATGAATTTAAGATCTTTACATCTACAACTCTCTTCTTTGTATTAAAAAATACATACAAACAACTAATACAAATAATACAATTAAGAATAAGCAAAAATGAAATGATATATGATAAATAACAAAAGGATCAGTTAAGAAGAACATTTTATATTGTAATCATAAAAGGATAAATTTTAGGTACATGCATGTGGTTTGTGACTTTCTTACTTACATACATATAAAAACTTTTTCCTCATTTGTAACTTTGTGATTCACTTTCAGTACCGAAAAGGGTAACAACATTAAAAAATAAGGATGAGAATAAATTTATAATTTTACTAAAATTTGCTTGATTTTTAAAATTATTACCCCTTATGGTAATGAAAATGAACCACAAGATTATAAGTGGAAAAAAATTTTTCATAGATGTTGAAAGTGAGAAAGTCACAAATCATAGAGAGTATTATTAGAATAAAGTTCACATGTAAGTAAAGAATCCCACATCACTAAGAAATATAAAAGAGATGTCCTATATATACATTAAAAACCCAAGAACCTAATAACTTAGCTTCTAAGCTCAAGTGGTGTCCAACATGTATATATGGATTCTTTGGAGTGCTTCTGTAGGCCCAAGTGTGGCAAACCTCCCAACAAGTAGTAAAAAAATGAGGGTTATTTTTGAGACATCAATACAAAAGTAATCCAAGACAAAAGTAAATTTTATTTAAGATCATGGAAGGTAATACAGATTTCATGATAAAATTGATAATATCAAATTATTTAACTTGGAAGCCTATGATGAAGGATTATTTATACTGTAAAGATTTATATGAGCCAATATTGGATGATTTAGCTAAGCCAGCAAATACAAAAGATGAAAGTTAGAATATGCTAGGCAGAAAGACAATAGCCGTAATCAGAAAATAGGTTGATATCAGCATATTTCATCATGTAGCACATGAGACAGATGCCCACATTATTTAAAAAAAATTGGCAATATTGTATGAGAGAAAAATAAGCATAAAAAAAATTTATGCTTATTAAAAAGCTTACAACTTTATAGTATAGGGATGGACGATCAATTGTAGAGCACTTAAGTGATTTTTAAGATATATTTAATTAGATGACTACTATGGAACTTAAGATGAATGATGAAATGAAAGCGTTGTTTCTTTTGGGTTTATTACCAGACAATTGAACACTCTAGTTGTGACAGTTCTTTATTCAACTATTGATTACAAGGTGACATTAGAGATGGTAAAGAACAATATGCTTAATGAAGAAGCAATGCGAAAAGATTTAGATCCTGAGAATCAAGCTCTTGTCACAGAAAATAAAGATAGAAATATCAACAAAGGTCATAACTCAAAAAGTTGTAGTAAGTCTAGACATAGATCCAAGTTCAAAGATAAAGTAAAGTGCTTTCATTATGGTAACTAAGTCATATAAAATGATATTATAAAATCTTGAAGCAAGAACAAAAAGATGAAAAGGTAAGAGTTCAAATGATGGCAATGTTGTAGCAGTGAATTCAGATAGTAATTTAGTTACTTTGATTTGTACACATGGTGGTTATAATCATATTGGTGATCCCTGCATTGAGTAGATAATTAACATAAGAGCAGCATATCATTGTGTTCTTAAAAAAGAGTTATTTATAACTTACAAAGTAAGAGACTTTGATTGCACCAAGATAAGAAACAAGAGTGTGTCATAGATTATTGAGATTGGTGATATTGTTGTACAAATTAGTACAAGCTGCATATTGACTTTAAGGGATGTTAGATACTTTCCAGATATGAGAATAAACTTGCTTGCTATTAATGTCCTTAATAAGGAAGGATATGAGAGTTGACAAAACAATGGACAGTGGAAGCTTCTCAAAAGATCTATGGTAGTTGTAAGAGGAAAACTATGTTGCACAATGTATAAGACATAA